GGGCCCCTCTCGTTCGCCTAAAGTTTCCAGGAGGGGAAACAACACACAGACACAATGCATCGTCGATCCTCCAGGAAATATGGGAAAATAACGGCAGTGAGGGGCAAGACGAAAACCCAGAAATTGTGGGAAAATATATGGGGAATCCTGTTGCTTGTGTCTATTCATTTGTGTGTCCCAGGGCCCCTCTCGTTTGCCCAAAGTTTGCCTGGATTCCTCGCCTCGTCCTCGCCGCCGCCGCCGCCGCCGCCGCGGCCGCCGCGGCCGCCGCCGCCGCCGTCGTCGTCGTCGTCGTCGTCGTCGTCGTCGTCGTCGTCGTCGTCATCGTCGTCGTCGTCGTCGTAACCAGCCAGTGTGGGCTCCAACCCTATGATGTGACGGACAAGTGCATTCTCCGTCTCCGTGTGTTCTGGTCGAGTCCGTCATCATTGGGTCGTCTTGGCTGTCATTGGCGTCGTGGTCGTCGTGGTCATCGCTGTCGTGGTCTTGGCCAGACCGTTAGGATCGCGGCCGCGAAATCTAATGGTCGTGTTGGTTGTGGTCATCGGCTGTCTGTCGTTCGACGTGGTCGTGGTCTGGCCAGTCGTGGTCGTCATTGGTCGTCCTTCTTCATTCGAATATCAGCAGTTGTTCACCTTGCTTGCGCCGTCTGTCATAGTCGGAGTTGTGGTGACCATCGGCCTCCTCGTCGCCATCGTCACCATTGTCGTCGTCCGTCGCCTGTTGTCCGTTGTTCCTCGTTCGTCGCCGTCTTTCGTCGTCCGTCTTCAGCCGTCCGCGTTGTGTGTGCCGTCGTTCGTCGTCCGTGTTCCGTCGTCCGTAGTGCGCCGCCTGTCGTCGGTGTTCCGTCGTCCGCTGTCCATCGTTCGTCGTCATCGTCGTTGCCGCGGCCGCCGCCGTCGCCACCGCTACCGATGTCGTCGTCATCGGGGCCTTCAAGGCTTCGCGCCCTGACCCTGGTCTGGTGGGAGACGCACGGTTCTCGCTTGGGTTCTCGCTTCCAGGCCCCTTGCTCCGGGCGTTCCTCTCTCTCTCTCTATCTATCTTTTTTTGTTCTCTCCCTCTCTCTCTCTCTCGTTCCTATACTTTTGTTATGTTTGTTTGTTTCTATCTGTCTCTCTCTAGCTCTCTCTCTTTGATTTCGGTGTATCTCCCCGTGTACATATTCCTTTATCGTCTGAAGTTTCATCTGACCCCCCCCACTGATTTGCACCCCCACCACGCCGTCCCCCCCCCCTCCAGAGCCCAGAAGGCGGCCCCAGACAATCACCCAAATGGTCAAGGGTTGCTGGAGGTTTTCCCCGGGACGGGCCCCAGACCGCCCAAGAATGCATATGGGTTGCCCTGAGGGCTTCCGAACCGCTCGGAAGTAGCCCCAGGTTGCCTCCAGACGGCTCCAGGAGCCTCTTGGACTCGATTCCCAAAGACGGCGTCAAGATGCAGCAACCATTGGTTTTGCTATGGTTTTCTAGCAGTGCTCGCGTTCTCGTCATTCTAGTTTACGACCACCCAAGACGGCCCAAGACCCCAAGAAGCCACCAAGAATCTTCGAATCATGTCGGGACCCCCCCCACGAGATCTGTGGGGGAGTGGGGGTATCACGCCATCCTCCCCTGCTAAAACCACCAAGACTCCCTCGGACAGCCCCTGTTCCCTTTCCAGAGTCCTCTGACTGCCCCAGACCCCAGATGGCCCCAAGAGCGCACGAAAACGGCCCCAAGAGATCCCCAAGACGACCAAGACAGGTAAAGACGGCCACAGGCGGCGTCAAGATGGCCCCAAAGGCCCCCAACGCGGCCCAAGGGGCTCTCCAGAGAGGATCCCGGAAAGGTATGCACCCAGGAGGCCGAAATCATTGAAAGATACACTGATGTCGAAAGTAGTTGGTGTGATCGCCTGTTCGGGTTTTGCAGACTCCAAGGTCCCAGGATCGCCGCAAGACGTCACAGAGAGGGCCCAGTGGAGGCCCAATGCAGTCGAGGAGGGAAATGACACCCCTGGAGGGTCCCAAGTGAGCTCAGCCCAGGGGCCAAAGTGGGTCCAAGCCAGCGGAGGCCCTCCGAGGGAACCCAACACGGCTCAAGAAGGCTTCCAGGGAGCCCTAAACGCTCCCGCAATGGGCACAACAAATCAGCTATCCGAAGCAGTTCTGAGACGGCCCCACGAGAGCCCGAACAGCGCGACATGGTTCTAACGAGGTCCCGAGAGGTGTCGAATGCACCAATTGGCGCGCACCTATAGCCGTGATGGGTGGGCTGGGCTTCAAAGCGACCCCAAAAGAGCGGCACGACTGTCCCGCGCAGGCGGAGGACGATGAGACGGGGGGGAGGAGGAATAGCAACCGGAGTACCGGAGGAGGAGGATGCGGGGGGGCAAGCGGAGCATTGGGAGAAGGAGGAGGATGGGCAGAAACCCTCGTCCCTTCATCCTTGCTTCCCCGCCCCCCTTCCTTATCCGTCTCACCATACAGGCTCAAAGCTGCCGTTGGCAGGTGTGCCAGAAGCCGTTCCTGTTAGGAATGCTGCCTCGCAGCGGCGTCTCCTGCACATTATTTCAAAGCGGCCCCTCTGAGGCGTAGCACCCCCAAGTGTTGTGACAGGGGTTTGTTCTCTCCTCGACTTCCCAGTCCCGCCCCGCACCCACTCCTCCGACCTTTCCTCTCCCGAGCTCCCTTGAGCCCCTCACTCCCCTCCTGGGCGATGCGAGGGCCAAGATGTGTGGCGAAGCGGAGCGAGCTTTCAACATCTTGTATACATATATCGAATGGCCTTCGGCCCATGCCGCCACCGTGCCTGGGTTGTGGGTCAGAGTTCCCAGGGATGCCTCTTCGGGTCTCTTCGGAGCAGTTTTGGGGCCTCTTTCGGAGCCTCTTTGAGGCCTCGTGGGGCTCTTGCAACCTTTTTGGGGCATCGTGTAGGCCTCTTGCGGCCTCCCGGTGGCCCCTCGGGGCCGAAGGCTCGAAATCTCCGTTCGGGTCTCCCATTTGGGCCCCCTCTTGGGACTGTCTTTGGGCCCCCCTCTTGGGCCTTCTTGGACACCTCTTGTGCCGTCTTTGGGCCTTCTCGGGCCGTCTGGGGGCCCTCTCAGGGGCCTCTGGGGCCGTATTGGGGACATCTTGGGGGCCTCTGCGGCCGTCTCGAGGCGATCGTGGAGGCTTCTTGGGCCGACTTGGACGCTGTGAGGACCAAGAGGGCGACAATGCTCCAAATGCACGCTTTCCACAGGGATTGGGACGATTTTTGCTTCGTGGGGCTTTCTTGGCGGCTCCTCTTGGAGCTCCATCGAGGCACGCGGAAGACCTTGGGAGGCGCTGTGAGGCTATCTTGGGCATCTTTGGAGGAAATCTTCGGCCGTCTCGGAGGCTTTTTGGGCCCTCACTGGGGCCTTTCCGGGGGCCCTCTGGGCCTCTTTTGGGCCATGTTGGGCGGGGTCACCGCCCGAGAGGTCCACGCGGCACGCCCCAGTGGCGCCCAGGAGGGCCCGGCGGCGCCCGTGAAACCGGGGGCCTGGGCCCTTGAAGAGCTTTTGGACCGCTGGTACCTCTCGGGGCTGCATGCGCCTTGGGGCACTCCACTACGTGCTGAGTGCGCAGTGGCGGAGATGTATGCGTATGTATGCGTATGTATGTACGTATGTGCGTATGTATGTATGTATGCATGTATGCATGTATGCATGTATGCATGTATGCATGTATGTAATGTATGTAATGTATGCATGTATGTAATGTATGTAATGTATGCAATGTATGCAATGTATGTAACGAATCTAATGTATGCAATGTATGTAATGTGTGTACGTATGAATATATGTATGTATATGTGTATGTGTGTATGTATGTATGTATTTATGTATGTATGTATGTATGCATGCATGCATGCATGTATGTATGTATGTATGTATGCATGTATGTATGTATGTATGTATGCATGTATGTATGTATATAGTCATGTATGTATGTATGTATGTATGTATGTATGTATGTATGTGTGTATGTATGTATGTATGTATGTAGGTATGTATGTATACATGCATGCATGCATGCATGCATGTATGCATGTATGTATGTATGGCATGCATGCATTCATGTATGTATGTACGTACGTACGTATGTGTGTATGTATGTATGTATGTATGTATGTATGTATGTATGTATGTATGTATGTATGTATGTATGTATGTATGTAGGTGTGTAGGCATGTAGGTATGTAGGTAGGTAGGTATGTATGCATGCATTTATGCATGCATGCATGCATGTATGTATGTATGTATGCATGCAATGTAATGTATGTCATGTAATGTATGTATGTATGTATGTATGTATGTAGGTAGGTAGGTAGGTAGGTAGGTAGGTCGGTATGTATGTATGTATGTATGTAGGTAGGTCGGTATGTATGTATGTATGTATATACGTATGTATGTATGTATGTATGTATGCATGCATGCATGTAATGTAATGTAATGTAATGTAATGTAATGTAATGTAATGTAATGTATTGTATTGAATTGTATTGTATTGTAAAGTATTGTATTGTAATGTAGTGTAATGTAATGTAATGTAATGTAATGTAATGTAATGTAATGTAATGTAATGTAATGCATGCATTCATGCATGCATGCATGTATGTGTGTATGTATGTATGTCTGTATACACGTTTCGTTGTTTTGCTAGTTCTTTCCCTCTCTCTCTGTTTTCGTCTCTCGTTCTCCCTCTCTCTCTCTCTTTCTTTGTATGTTATTTTCTTATCAACCGACTTCTTTTCTCGTCCTTCGTCTCTCTCTCTCTCTCCTTTTTTTTTGTTTTTTCTCTCTCTCTCTCTCTCTTTCTCTCTCCCTCCCTCTTCTTCGTACTTCTCGCTCTCCTCCGAGCTCCTCTGTGACAGGGCCAGCCGTTCAGAACCGCCGTCGGCCGACTCCCGAGCAATCTTGGCTCGTCTGTTGCTCTGCACACCCATGCTCCCTCCACGCGGAGCGCCGAGAGGCGAGGCGCCGCGAGGGCGGGCATGGAGGCCCTCCCCGAGGCCGCGGCGGGCCCCGCCGCGCCGCCGCTGGAGGGGCGGCGCACCCTGCGCTTCGAGGACGTCAGCGAGGCCATGGACGAGCTGGAGCAGGAGAACGACCAGCTCCGGGAGGAGGTCGAGCGGCTCCTGTCCACGCAGGGGAGGCGGCCGAGCCAGGGCAGCCGCCGGGCGAGTTCGGACTTGCTGGAGGACGGGCCGAGGCAGCGGTGGTCCCGGGCGGTGTCCGCGGTGTGCAGCCGGAGGAGCTCCTTTGCGGCGGCCTCCTGCCGAGGCAGCGCCGAGCTGGACGGCCAGCTCGACGCCGCGCTGGTGGAGAACCACGAGCTCAGCGACCGCCTCCGCAGCCTGGAGCGCGAGCGGCAGCGGGACAGGGAGGCGCAGGCGTGCCACGAGGCGGCGGTGGCCGAGCTCTCCGCCAGGGTGCGCCAGCTGGAGCGGGAGAACCTCGATCTGGAGGCGCGCAACGAGGAGCCCCTGAGACCCCAGCGTCGCATTTTTCCCCACGGCCGCCGCTTCCCCCGGTCTTGGCCCCCCCCCCCCCCGGACCCTCACAGAGCGCTCCGGCTCGAACGCTGCCGCAGAAGAGGATGGGGCCCGGGGCTCCGGTCGTGATTTTGGGGATGTTGCACTCTTTCTCGGGCGGTGGTATTGTACTGCCCCGAAGGGGCACTTCTGGGCCCCCCGGAGGCCCCTGCCGGCTCCACAAGAAAGGGGCCCCACGTCGCCTCCGTGGGGCCCTTCCCTTCGCCCCCCAATGCAGGTCACGCCTCACTGCCCCCCGCCCGAGAAAACCTGGAACGTCCGATCTGATAGGGGGCCACATGCGAACCCTACCCCTACCCCCCACGATTTCTGGGGGGAGGGTGGGGTTCACTTCGCTCGGGAGCTCCCAGACGAAGTGAACCTCACCCTCCCCCCCAGAAATTGTGGAGGGTAGGGGTAGGGTACGCGTGTGGCTCCCTATCTGAGGAGCTGGAGACGCGCCACGCGGCGAGCAGCGACGGCCTCGAGGGCTCGGGCTCGGACGGGGCCGCGCCCGCGAGGCGCGGCACGCCGCGGGGCGCTGGCCGGGGCGCCCCCGCCGCGGGCGCGCGCGCCCGGCGCAGCACGCAGCGCAGTGCCGGCCGGAGCTCCGTCGCGACGTGCCGCCCGGAGGACGAGCTGAGGCCGAGCCTGCTCCGGGCGGAGAGCCAGATAGGGGGCCACATGCGAACCCTACCCCTACCCCCCACGATTTCTGGGGGGGAGGGTGGGGTTCACTTCGCTCGGGAGCTCCCAGACGGAGTGAACCCCACCCTCCCCCTCAGAAATCGTGGGGGGTAGGGGTAGGGTTCGCATGTGGCCCCCTAGCCAGATCGCCGAGCTGGAGGCCGAGCTCGCAGAGGCGCGGGCGGAGCAGGGGCAGCTGTTGGGCCGCGCGCAGCAGCTCGAAGCCGAGTGCGAGGAGCTGGGCGTGCTGCTGGAGCAGCAGCGCAAGGCCCGCTCGCCCTCGCGCTCGCTCTCGGACTCCTCGCGGGCCGCAGTCTCGAGACCGAGGGCCTCACGACGACGACGACGACGACGGCGACGCCGACGACGACGGCGACGCCGCCGACGACGACGACGACGACGCCGACGACGACGACGACGACTGCGACATCGATGACGTTGACTAGTGTTGGCGTTGGCATTGGCATCGACGACGGGGTCGACGACGGCGACGGCTGACGTCGGCCACGCCTTCTTGAGGTCGTCGACGACTGCGCCGCCGGGGAAGCCACGGGAGCCTGGGGCCTCTAAGAGCCCACCGACGGGGACTGCGTGGAACCCGCCCAGAAGCTCCAGGTTCCCATACGCGGACCTCCAGGGGCATCGGGGGGCCTTCTGAGGGCCCCAAGGGGGCCGACAAGAGCTCCCTGGGGAGCCTCCAGGCGCCAGGGGCCTTCCGGGTTTTACGGAGCGTCCTCGGAGCCTCGACGTGGGCGGTGGCGCAGCAGGGGCCGTCGTGCGTGGTGAGCGCCCCCCTCTTCCCGTGTGCGAGCTTTTCTCGCGATCTCTTGCGAAGTGCCGTCTCGCACGCCCTTTGCCACCAAGCGGATGGCGGGACTTCTGTGGCTCTCGAGGGTCGTCGCCTCCGCCGAACGCGATTCGAAAACCCGTGCCAGGACGTTGCCCAGGAGAGCCCATAGCAGGACAAGGTTTCGCGCGGATCCTTGTCAGATGGACAGGGGGTCTTGTTATACCCTTACCCTGCTGTGTTGGTGGATCCTCGTTTCGAACCCGCAGCCTCCACGCGCACTCTCCTTTTCCCGCCTCCATTCCCCCTCCTCCTTCTTCTCCAGCTGCCATCTGGGCCTGGGAGAATGTCAGGGCAACCCAGACCGCCACTATGTAATTCCACCGTTTGTGCAGACAGAAGGGGCGGCAGCCCGCATGATGGCGGTGTGGACCGCTTCTCTCGCGGTGCTTCTCTTCAACCCGCTCTCGGCAAAACCCGACAGGCTGGCGGAGATATGCGAGGAGGCGCCGAACTTCGACGCCATCATCCTGACGGGCACGTCGCGCAGGCGCCTCGAGCCTGTCATCACCCAGCACCGCACCGGCGACACGCGCTTCTACGACGCGGGCTGACAACCTGGCGACCTGACCAACCACAGCACGGGTATCATCATCGCGCTGCAGGGCAGGCTCCGACACGCAAAGGTCACTGAGTTGCAGGAGCCGCCCGGTGAGCTCAGCGGACGAGGACTCGCCATCACGCTGCAGCACCACGACCAGATGATCCTGATCATTGGCTATCACAGCCCGCCGCAACCCACGAAGGGCAGGAACGCCCGCAAGGCCTACTTCGCCACGGTTCGCCGCCTCTCTGCTTGGACTGACACGGTCAGCAAGCACAAACCGCGCAACGCGGTACTGATTACAGCAGGGGGCCTGAACGACGGCATCGGCATCACTCCTCGGGGCGAGAGACCGATAACGACAGCCATAGGCGACGGCAGAGCACCAGAACGACTACCAGGAGGCGCAGAAATCCAGACAGTACGCCGAGCGCTACAACCTGTTCGCCACGAGCACGGTGGGCAGCCGGCGCCCGACCTCCTTCGGCACGACCCACGCGAACTGCATTGACTACATCATGCTACCGCAACATCTGACGGAAACGCTCATTTCACAAGGACCACATCTACGGATGGGGGCGCGACTGCAGCATATCTCATGCCGAGCACGACGAGATCATGTGCCAGTCCACGCCACTTTCCGATTCCCATTGAGACAACGAGTACGACACCAACCTCAGCCCCCTAAGTGGAACAGGGACGGCCTCGTGCAGGCGGTTCGCAATGGCTACCACCATGCGGAGTTCATCCAGAACATTGAGAGCCAGAGGGCACAGGAGTGGATCAGCTTCTCAGCGACGTTAACGAGATCTTGATCACGGAGGCGCAGGCCAGACAAACAAAAACACTACGGCCAGACGCCCAAGCCGACGACTGAGTACGAACGACTGCGAGATGACCGCATGCTCCTACTACGCAAACGACGAGAAGCCAGAGCCGCACTCATCGCAGAGCATGAAGGTACCACGCCAGAGGCTGCGCGCCGAATTACAGATTCCGAGTCGCCCCCACCGACCGGACGGGACCGCCAGGACGGACGGGGCTGGGACCCAAGGGGCCGAGGCCCAGGGAGACAGAGAAACCCGTGAGAGCAACCCATGCGCCGATCCAGTGCCAGCACCCATCGCAGAGAGTGAATCTAAGATGCGCGGCTTTGAGGCAGAACTTTGAAGTATCACGAAGCAGTGCCAGCGGATGAGGAAGATAGAGCACCAGAAGCGCACGGACGCCAGGATCGGGGGCATGTACGAGGCATGGGAACAGAGAGACTTGGCGCGACTTGGGAGATTGTCAATACTGATATCATGAGGACTCTATGGACCAAGAAAACGCGACTACTGACGGCGACGACAGCGAATCCTATCAAGCAGGAGTGGATCGAGCTTTGGCAGCAAACAGGAGGAGCAGGAGGCATGGGCGGCACCGAGCCGGACCGCGAGACCATCGAAGAGATACCGCACAACGCAGAGGAGCAAGGCTACTACGAGGACGACCTCGAGGAGACGGTGGAGGAGGACTACACGGAGATTGCGAGGCCACTCGAACGAGCGCGGCTACGACGAGCAGCACCACTTACAGCGGCACCATCGGAGATTTGGCGACTACTTCGTTGCGACCACGACCGCGAACAACCGCCGCGCCGGCGATAGGGGCTTGGGCGCCGCCACGAGCACCGCGAACCCGAACAGTTTCAAGCATTGATCAAGGCAGCCCCGGCGGCCATCTGCATCCGCGATGCGACGCGAGTTAGCTGGCGCCAGAGCTCGGCGACCGCTGTCAAGAATAACGCCAAGAAGGGCCCGGCGGGCAAGATAATCTACCGCGTCGTGGACCCTTTCGGCAAGGCGCGCTACGCGGCGGGGATCCGACGCCAGAACGCCAGGACCTACAGCGCCCAGGACTATGGCTTCATCAAAGGCAGGCGCCGCGAGGGGGCGATCCTGACCATGGCGGTGGTGGAGTGCAGGGCTGGACAGTCAGGCTACAGCTGCGCGCCCACCATGACGGACGTGCCCAACGTCTTCGCGAGCTGCTCGTTGTCCATCATGTACGCCGCCGACGACAACATCATGCCAGAGGACCTCCGGGACATAGGAGAGCAGCGCTACCGCGGGGCCGCGTTCGAGACAGCGCGCAGGGACGCGGAACAGGGCGCGCGCATCAAGCCCCACTGTGGAGGGTTCATCGGCGACCCGTCCATGGTCAACAAATTCGTCGCCAGTATGCCGATGGGTCCTAGATTGCAGCGAGACGATCGCCAACGACAGCCTGCTTTACGGAGATAGCGAACTATCTCAGCATTCAGTCAATGTGGGACTCACGAAGTACGCCGACAACCTGCGCAAGATGATCCTTGGGGGCAAGACCGCAGACGCCCGGCGCATTGCCGAGCAAGCCTACGCCGTAGGCGAGAAGCTCAACCAACGCCTGAACGATATCGGCCTCAAGCAGAACCAGGACAAGCAGGGGGCCATCATCTACTTCCGGGGGCCCGGTGCCAGCCAGGCGCGCCGCGACATCAAGAAGAACCCGCGGCGCAGACAACCGGGCGAAGTGGCGGGGGCGGCGAGTCACCTGGGCCCGTGCGTCGCAGCAACCGAGAACAGCCAGCAGGAGCTTCACAAAAGAGTGCAGGCCATGAAGAAGAGCAACTACGAGTGCGGCGGCTTCAGGGCCAAGCGAGGCATCCTCCGCCGATGGAGACGAGCAGTCTTGGTTTGCAGAGTCATCAATACAGGCCCGTCGCGCGTGGAGTGCTTCCTGCCGACGCCGACGGAGCGCCGCGCGCTGCAGAGCGCGATGGGGGCGCTCTTGAGGGGGGCGATGGCAGACCATGCGAGCGCGCGCCGAGCGGGCGGCGCCGCCCGCAGCGCGACGACGCTGGAGGTTTTTCGTTTCTGGCAAACACTGCCGCCAGCGGAGGGGGGGCGCTGGTCCGCAGACTTGGCTGGGCAACAAACAGATTGCGATTTCCGAGCAATCGTCGAGAACTCATCGTCGCTTTGTTTGGGCGCCTCGGTTTCGAGAGAGCGGAGACTGATCGGGGCCGCATTTCGTCTGATTCGAATCGAGAAGGAAGCGTCGGGCCCGAGAACAAGAACGACGGAATCGAGCTGACGACGCATGCGAATCCCTGGGCCCGAAGAATCGTGGGCGACGTCGAGGGAGCGCGCGAAGTCTCGGAGAGCTTCAGAACCATCTTCGGGGAGCAGGAGATTACGATCGGCATGATGTTCAGGCTGGCGACTGGAGAACTGCCCCATCTCCTAGATGCGCGCGAGATCAGAGCAGCTAGACTGACAGTGTCTATCCCCCTTCCGGACAGGCCCAAAACGACGAACTCATAGAAGATCTGGCCCTCCAGGATCTCCAACCGTGGAACTGCGAACTCAGGGGTGGAGTGGAAGAGTGCGGGCTCCTTTTCTCGAGCAATATAGCGCTTCGCAGCCGCGTGCTGCGAAGTCATCGCGTTCATAATTTAGCGCGCCAGTGGATGACCCACTAATTGAAAATGGTGTGTGTGTGTGTGTGTGTGTGTGTGTGTGTGTGTGTGTGTTTGCGTGTGTGTGTGTGTGTGTGTGTGTGTGTGTTGTGTGTGTGCTCGCAGCCCCCCCCGCCCCCCCGCCCCCTCCCCCCCTTGGAAGGGGGGGGGGGGGGTTCGAACCGCCCCCCCCCCCCCCCCTCCTTTCCCCCGTCGAGGGGCGAAGGGGGTCCGAACCTCCCCCCTGAAGGCGAAGGGGGTGGTGTCCGGGCCCCCCCCGCCCCCCGCCCCCCCCTTGGCGCTGGGGAGGGGGGGGGGGGGTCGAACCGTTCGAACCCCCCCCCTCTGTTGCGCCGAACAGGGGGCCGGGGGGGGGGCTCTCCCGCAAAGGTGGGG